CGCTGAAACTGATAGTTTCGGCATTTTTTTTCGATTTTACATGTAAAAACGCTGGAATAATTAGTTCTGGCATTTTTCTTTTTGATTTTACATGTAAAAACGCCAAAACTGATAGTTTCGGCGTTTTTTTTCGATTTTACATGTAAAAATGCCGGAATCATTAATTCTGGCGTTTTTCTTTTGATTTTACATGTAAAAATGCTGAAACTGATGGTTTCGGCGTTTTTCATTTGATTTTACATGTAAAAATGCCGAAACTGATAGTTTCGGCGTTTTTTTTTCGATTTTACATGTAAAAATGCTGGAATAATTAGTTCCGGCGTTCTTCTTTTTGATTTTACATGTAAAAACGCCAAAACTGATACTAGTTTCGGCATTTTTTTTCGATTGTACATGTAAAAATGCCAGAATCATTATAAGTTTTGGCGTTATTTAATTTATTTGACCCAAATATATGTCGGGTCAACGGGTCGGGTCGGGTACCGACCAGCACTGACCCGACCCGTGTCAGGTCATGAATTTGATGACCTGACCTGAATATTTCGGGTCAACCCGTCGGGTCACCCGATCTGTCGGGTCAGGTTGCGGAGCTCTAGTTACGATATCAAATAAATGTCAAATATTTTTGTAATATTAATTCAATGTTAATACGACATCACTACGATATGGTTATGTGATAATATTTACATCGCATAATGATCGCAGCAATATCGCAGAGATATCGAACTAATCAATATCAAATAAATACAGTTACGACTAACTTAACGATGTCGAATCTATTTTTTATCAAAATATCGTAATGATATCGTAATGATATCATTGCGATATCTAATCAATATCGATTGTAAATTCCAAGTTTCAGCAAAGTCTTTTTTTTTCCTTTAAAAATTCGATGGATTTGTTAAAATCCATGTGTTCAATATTTTTGTTCATTTGAAATGCGATTTGATTCTTTTTTTTGAAAGTTTTTTTTATTTATTTATTAATTTGATCGTGAATCAATTCACTTTAACTTCCCAGAATGATAAAAAATTTAATATAGACGACTTAAATAATAATAATAATTTTTATTGAAAAAGATAACTGACAAATTTTTTCTTGCCTAAAAATAATATTTAAATAATTATTATTATAAAATTACATAAACGTTATCATACATAATTAAAGTGACTCTGTAACGCATGACACATAAGCACGTTATCAATTGCAAATAATAATAATAAAAATGAACAACTATAGTTTTGAGGTTCTTGATTATAGATATTAAATGTTAAAGTAGTGTGGATTCCATCAATGTGCAAGACGGTGTTGATGCAACAGTTCAAATAGACGACCCACCATCAAAATTTGTATCAGTCAATAATCTAAATCTTAAAGATAAATTGTTAAACATTCGTCATAAACTTGTACAAAATAGCAAAGTCAAAATGAATCATACATTTTCATTTGCAAATAAGATCAATAATAATGATAATAAAAGTAAAAGTTCGTTAGCTGTAATAGCAAGAGAAGATGAAGAAAATATAATTTTAGAAAAAATTATGGACAAAAAAATTATGTTTTTATATTTAAAATCAGAATCAGAACCTGATTGGAAGTTTTTGAAAGATAAGCTTAAACTAGAATATGGATGTACTGAAACTTTAGGAAAAGCTAATAAGAGAGCTTTTACAATAGTGAGTTGCGAAATGAATGAAATCATTGATGGATATGAAAATAATATAATTCAAATTGATTTGGAAGAAAATAAGATTATAAAGAATGATTTTCTTTTAATCGCAGATATTGATATTCCAAATTTTACAAAATTGGGAGTATCAATCAAAAGTTCAGATATAAAAAATTCTAATATTATAACTAGTTTAACTTATAACATTATTGAATACAAAAAAGTGTCTTTAAAATTTAAATTAGAACCAACTACTGAGTTCATTAAAGCAGTTAAAGATGTAATAGATTCTAAAGATCCTAGAAAATTTAAGGATGTCATAAATGATTTTGGTCAATTTATTCCAAAAGAAGTTGTTTTAGGTAGTGGAAAAGCATATTTCATTGCAAGAGAAAATTCTGAAGATTATGCTGGTGAATATACTAAAAATATAGGTTATTAGACTTCAAACATTAAAATTGAAAAAAACTCTTCAAAATCATTAAGCAGAAATAATTTTTCAAAACAACAAAGCTTTAAATTATTTGGAGAAAAACTATTTAGTTCTAACAGCTTTAATGAGTCAGATTGGATTGAAACTTTAAATGATTATAAATATTGGAGTTGCATAAAATTAAAAGATCCAGTTAATATTTTTCAACTTATATCTAAAAATTTACGTAAACGAATCTTATCATTTGTTGGAAAAAAAATTCTTTTTACAAGTATTGAAGAATATTCTTATAAAATGCCTGAATCTGGAAGTAAGTTGATAAACATTCCAGAAAATATTTTAGAAATTCTTCAAAATAAAGAAGCTAATTGTAACATCTTTGCAACAGTTATTGATAAAAAAGAAAAGGATGTTTTTAGTTATCAAATAATTTGGCCACCAAATGAAGATCCAAGACTTATAATTCATTGTATTCAAAAAAAGTTTAGAAAGCGTGAATGTAAATTGAAAATTAAGTGGATGATTGTTGGTTATGATACAAATTTTGATTTTAATCATTCAGATTTTAACACCAAATTGAAAGTTCTAAAAAATGATTTTAATGCATTAAATTGCCAAGCTATATCTGAATCATTAGATTTGGAATATAATCCATCAATTCTTTGTTTTGGAATTCCAGTATTAAGCAATTTGGATTCTTCAAACAATTCTTTAGTTATTGGACATCACTTTATTAATGATAGAGAAAATAGAAAAGTTGGATCATATATATTTTCTTATTGTTTAGAAAAAAATCATTATGTTAACTTACCTAATTTTACATTTTATACACTTATCTCAAAATATCCCAATTCTGATAATTATGGAATTTCAACCTTCCAACATACTAGTAAGACAAAAAAACTGCTCAACTTTATTAAATTCAATTCTCTAGAATCAAAACCAAAATTTTTTAGTTTGTATTCTGCAGCAAACAATTATGGTCCAATTTTCTTAAAACAAAAAGCTAGCGAAATTAAAGTTAAATACATTAATGTTAATTGTAATCAAGATAATTGTATTTGTAAAAGATTAATGAAATTAGAAAATAGTTTGAAATATGCATTCTTTGATCCAAAGAATTCGAATTAAGTTATTTTCTTATTTATCTAATCGAAATTTAAAAAATTTATGAAAAAAAGTATGATTAAGAAAAAAAATAGTAAGATGATGAAATATACGAATATAATTTTTATTTATTTATTTGTAAGATATAATTTATAAGATCAAATTATGAAATTTATGAAATACGAATATTTTTAACAGTAATATGTCGCTTATTAATTTTGTTTAATTAATGTACTTAAGATTTTAGTATTTTAAATATTATTGTTCATCTCCGCATGAAAAAATTGTTTTTTATTATCTAAATTTTGTTTTGTGTTTCGTTTTCATTTTATGAAAGAATTTAATTTACATTATGAACCAAGAGCGAAAATTTTATGTAAAAATCTACTATTTCTAACTTGCTGGGACCTCTGTTAATCCATACTTATCGTTATCCTCTTCTATTATAAAATAATCATAAAAATAAATTTATTAAACTAATTTTAAAAAAATCTTTTCAGATACTCTCCGGCTTTACAACTCTAAAACTAATTGTAGTTCCAAGTGACGAAACTATTAGATTCATATCTAATAGACGTGTAAAAAAAAATCGCTTGTTAATCTAAATTCCTATTTTTAATTTTTTTAAAAAATATTTTTTGTATACCTACATTATCTACTATATATCAGAGCAAATCTTATTGTAGGTCATAATTCTGTTTCAACGATACCTCGAGATATTACATACCCAACAGTCAACAGAATTGGCTAAGAAGGATAAATAATTTAAGTAAATCTTTGTTAATAAAACGTTAATTTCCTGAGATTCAAAGTAACTTCTTATTTAGAAAGTGTATACCTATAAGTTGAATGATTGTATGTTTGTATAGTCATGTAGAAAGAAAAAAAAACAACGTATTCCACAAAAACCATTACATTATTAATCCTTTATCTCATCCAGTTCGTCCTTGTGTCACTTATAAAAGTTTATCAATTAGTTTGGTGACAAATGAATGGATAAGAGGCTGTTTATTTTAAAAAAAAATATCGTTAATATGGTAAAATTAATAATGATATATTGCGGGGCGGGAGACGAGAGAAAAAAAACTTACTACTATAAAATGCAAATGCGACCCAGGAGAGAAAGAAAATAAATAAGGAACAATAAGAAATGATGAAAACAGTAAGATCTTTTATATAATCATTGTTCATAAATTTGAGCATAAGGGCACCTTAGCCATATCTTGCTGAGGATTCAGCTAAATTTGAATACTTAATAACTTAGACAGCCATTATTCATTATTAATGTGATAAGTCACTATCGATGTAGTATTCCTTGGCATATTCGTTAAGAATGCGTCCATCTTCCGCCTTTCATTACTATTCCAGCTTTAAGAATCAGTTTCTAAATTCTTAAACTGTTCTCATTATCATCATCATAGCATAACATAGCATGACTTCATTCATCTAGTATACCTTCTGGCTTCACTAATTTTTTCTCTATAAATTGACGTAATTTTGATGTAATGTAATCAAAATGTGAAAATTAGCAATTCATAGTGCCAAATCGCACACACCAAAAGACATAATCCACTTCATTCTTACCTTCTGTAATAAAGTCGTATTTCTAGAGTATGATTTGTTAGATATGATAATGAATTCCTGCATTACTCGTTACTGCCAACTTTCTGAAACAAGTTGCGTGAATAGTAGTTGAACGGCCATTTAAATTGCTTACACAGATAGGGCCTTTTTGTAGTTCCTTAATTAGAACTTTTGGTTAAAAGTGCATTATGGTATATAATCTTCGTCTTGATCCTCATCCCTATAAAAATATAGGAGAAAATATTAACAAATACAAGGATATAAATAACATATATAAAAGTCTGATTAAAATAAATCAATACCTATAGTATCATTTGATACAAATATTTTTTTTTTTTGAATTATGCAACTTTGATCAGGATGGAACGTCTTGCTTATTATTAGAATAATTTTAATAATTTTGAGTCTTTCATAAATCCTTCATTAAGAATAAAGAATAAAAAAAGATTGATTTAATAACCTAATATGTCCTTATAATGTTAAATACGTTTTTGATAAGTCTCCAAGACGATTAGCAGTATTCCACCGCCATCAAATCATGTAAATCCTAGAGAGTTAAAAAATTTTTAAATATCTCTTGAATGTGGAATCAAAGCAAAAAAATTTCTTTCAACTCACGTAACTATACAGGATCGTTAAGACTGCAATTTTCCAGATTATTTTATGTTAAAATTGTAAATGATCAAAGAAGCGCCCTTTAATATCGCATATTTGACGTTCAAATTGACATTCCCAATGAGTGTATTAAGGGAGTTATACATTTAAAGAAGATTTTATGCATTATTTTCCAATAATTCTACGAACAAGATTGCGATGACAGTAACGTTCGCTTGTACTAGTCTTGTACCTTACCAAAATAAAATGGTTGTACGAAAGTTTAATCAAACTTGAAGATTCTGTACCATAATGTTCGATTTGAGTAACTTTACCTCAAGAAGGTATTTTTTTCTACCTTATGCAATTAAAATGACGATCTGACATTCTTTGTATAAATTTGCAGTGAAAATTGAATTATGTTTAATATTATGAAAGAAATAATATTTGTATCTATTGATGACACAGTGCCGCATCGATTTATTAATACTCGTAAGAGTTTGCTATATTAGAAAACTCGATAGGAATTTATATACAAAATTTTTGTGAAACCTAGAAGGAAAAGGGGAAGTCATGGAATGGACAATCATTCAGCAATTTTGGTAATATGATTTTAAAAATTCCATATCAGGAAGCCTACCATTTAACGTACTACAAAATACTTTGTTAGAGATACAGTATATATACAGTCTTTGTTCTCATTTATTTTAAGAGAAAAAAATATCATGTCAAAGAAAAATTCTAAAATAGTGCAATAAAAGTACTTTTATTTTAAATGTTTATGTTGTTGTTACCGATAAAGAATTCATAAAGTTATAATAATCAGTTTGGAAATCACCGAACTCGAATAGTTATAACTGATCAAAGTATTTAAAATTAGAAACAATAAATTAATATTTATTGGTAGTTAATTATAGGTCAAATTTTCAAGAAAAAGATTTCGATGGAAAATCCGATAAAAAAAATTTTCTTTGGAAGAACCTTAATGAGAAAATTCTAGTATTGAAAATAATTTTTAATTCCAGAACATTCGAAACATTTACTCGGGTTTTCTTGTCGATCCCCAAAAAATTATCGTTGTATTTATAAAATAGGAAAAATATCTGTTAATTTAATGAGCTCATTTATTTCATCTGGAGGAAAGAGGAAATACCATTATTTTTCCCGGATACAGAATAAATAAATAATATTTTCGAAATAATACATTTTTTTTAAATAAAGCCACAAGTCATCATAATAATAATATTTACTTATCTTTTTTGATGAATTTCGCAAAACGAAAAGAAAAAAAAGAAAATATTCCATCAAGAAAGGTAGTGATGGGATATTTTTGGTTTCAAATTTCCTTTGTTCTTTTCGGGTAAAAATATTGTCACAGTTTCATAAATAAATTTTGTAATGATTGATGATTTAACCAAGTTTCGTTTTTGAATGGTTGGAATAATGTAATACAATGATCGTATCGTTAAGCGGATTTTTTACGAATAACAATATTTGGAGTAATCTATTTAGCGTAAATAACGTGGCAAAATTAAAGTTTAAAAAAAGAGAAAATGAAAAATAATAAATCAATTAATTTCATTTGCTATTTCAAATTTGAAATTTTAATACCCAACTTTTCTTTATTATTTTTTTTTAATAACCGAAAAAATGGGAATGGATTTTTCCTCTCAAATCAAACGCTTGGTGCAAGAACCTTTAAAAATTAAAATACGTCAAAAACATGTATATTTTTTTTTAATTGGTTGTTTCTATTTATGAATTATAAACATTTCTTGGAGTCAATGATAGCTACTATTTTTGATAATGTGGCGGTTTAGTATGTATTTTAATCGTAAGAGATCCGAAAAAAGTAATTTTAAAATGAATTGTTTGTTTTTATTTGATAATATTTTATAAAATTTATGCAACTTTCCAGGAGAAAATTATTTATAATGGATTTACTACATTTATAATTATTACAATGATTGTTATCAGGATCATACAGTATCGGCATATTAAAATCCATATTATTAAATGTATGAAAATTCTAGAATTCTAACATTCTAATAATTTTTAGTTACAGCATATGATATAAATTTAAAACAAGGTAATTATTTCCAAAAGTTAAGATAGTAAAGATACCGTAAATATTTTAAAACAGTTCATATGACTGTATAAATAAGAACAATGAATGAACAGACCAATCATCAACAATGCTTATTTATCATCATGACGTACTGTATCTCTAATATTCCTTTCTAGTTTCTATAGATAATTTTCAAAATCGAAACTATATACTGCCATTAAGTTTCAGAATTACCAAATAAGAGTTGCGGCATAGGTTGAACATGTGACGTTTTATTTTCAATAAAAACCCATTCAGAAAATAATAATTTGTTCCTAAGTTTCTTTATATGATAATTTGTTCGTTCTATTTTAATCTAATGTCATTAATTACTGTAAAGCAGAGGTAGAAATTTCTGTAAAAAATATTTTACTAATATATACAATTTAATCACGTGATCTTATGCAAATTTTATTCTAATAATATATAAATAATATTTATCGCAGTTTTCAAAATTAGTGATTATAATTACGGGAATGATTACAGGACAACATTGTCCGATTTTTGTCTATCAGATGATCTATAGGGAAGTAGCACAATTTTTGAAAAGCGCAATAATAAAGGATGGTCTTTTCACTTAGTAAATTGTAGAGAAAAAAAATATATATATTTTAAATAAAGATTAGAAATATGCAAATTGTATACGCTGAAATATATTATGTTTAGTTGGGCTTTTTATATTATTAATTAAAAAAAGAGCTAAGTTCGATTTTCTTTTAATTATAAATTAAATGGATGATCTTACTCTGAACATTTAAACCAACAGTTCAACACTTGGTTATAATAATATAATAACTTTCTCGTTATTTGGTATACTTAATGATAATATCTGCCACCAAAGAATAATAAATCACTATCGCATGTTCTTTGTTATGCCACACAGAGAAATCTAATATATTATATAATACAATGGTTTTACATATTTGAGGATATCATATCAGGTGAACGGGATTCTATGAATGGATAAACTAATTACGTATGTGTCTAGTCGTTCATGTAGAATTAGTGAAACTGGCGGTCATTATTTAGGAAATGTATTGTCCCAGATCACAATGTGTTACTATCCATAGCATAAACCTCTTTCTAGAAGTACAAAGATAATACCTTACTTGCGTAATTGCCTCATCCAGAACATCGTCTTAGAACAATTGGTTTGCTATCTTTCCTCGTATTACCACAAAATTTTTCCACCCCAGTCCCCACATGACCTTAAAAATTTGTCACCCCTCCCTGTTTTTCACTTTTACTATGTATTCCAGGGACAGATTTGTAAATCACACATTAATTGTCATATTCTTAATTTCTTAATGCCAGCCGAGACATATAATGCCGGCCAAAAATCACGTGAGGTGGAAGATTTTGTCCGGAGCGTAGCGAAGGATTTATTTTACGAAGGTCGATGACAATTAGTGTCACGTGGCGATTTCCGGTTGTCCGCACGCGTCATTTCTGATTGGTCCGCACAGCTACATCAAAAATAAACAAGTAAAAAAGTTTATGATTACCTTTTTTTTTTTAGATTTCAGCTAGTAAGTATATTTTTCTTTTAAACGACTTTCTTATTTTTTTCCTGGGGTTTCTGGATTTCTTGTACATACCGGACTGGTGAGTTGTTTTTTATTTGTTTTGCTTTAAAGAAACGTTTTTATTGTTTCATTTTTATTTTCTTTTATCTAGGAACACAGGTTTTTTGTACATGCCGGACTTTTAAAGGTAAATTGTAAGGGCTTTTCTTACTTGTTTAACCTTAAAGAAACGTTTCTAACGTTTCATTTTTCATTTTTATTTTTTTAGGGATGCCAGATTTTTTGTACAAATTAAATTTTTAAAGATATTTGGATTTTTGTACAAATCTTTCGCTCCGGACTTACAACGGTTTCCGTTTCCTAGTAATACAAAAGAAGAGGTGAGTCACTAAGTTGTTATTTTTTTAAAAAAACAATCTGACAAAGAAGTTGTATTAGCTATGGAGCTATCTAGAGATATTGTCAAGGACGAGCGATTTGTCAACACTTATATACCAAATGTTTCTGGAACCTTACAAGTATGTCAAATATTATTTTAAGCAAATGCCCGCATTAAATTTTATTTGATACTCCAGAAACAACCGGCAAATGATTCTAAGACAGCAGAACGGGCAACCGCGATGCCTGGGAATAGAGATAGATAGAGCGACGCTTGCGACGAGTACATTTGTGGACGGTCTCGCACTTTTTTATTCCATAAATATCGGCCAGCCTCCGAGATCATTAATATTTCTGGATCAGCAAATAGAATGGCTGTTTCAACATTTGAACCAACTCGCGATGTGGATATTGATTTTAGAAACAGACGAAGAAGAGGACTACATACCGACAGCAATATGTGTAACCTGGAAGTCAAAACGACAAAAAATCTTGAAGATCCCGTTCGGGACAACATTGATAGGGACTAAGAATGCCAGAAGAAATTTAATAAGATCACGACAGGATTTCAACATGAGATACAATCGTCTCTTTCCCTGAGACGGGAACATGAATTTGATACCAAATCAAGAACGGTGGCAATTCGGGAATTGCGCAGAGACAAACGCGTTGTCCCATCTAGTGTCCTGGAGACGCGATCTAGCGATCAGATCTCGTGTAATCAATACAGAATCACAAGAAATGATACCCCCTTGCAGGAAATGTCTCCTGATTATGAAACACAGGACTCTGAAGACGTACTCCTTAATCTATTGAAACGGGATCATTCTTTTCACGAGACAAACACCAATGTCTTGTCTGTTTATGAGATTGATAAATTACGCTATTATTGGTGCATATTCCGTACTTTCATATAATGATTTAGTTTTCTGGATAAAAGATCATGATGGAGTTGTATACATATGGTCCCGTATGGAAAATAGTGTTATGTACACAACATGAAAGATGCCCTAATGAATTATCTTTTTCATCAGGAAAATCTTCGTTACGTTAATGAGCATACATGTGAATTGGTACCACTAGACGAAGCTGAACGCGAAGCTGAAGAATGGATAAAATCGTGTGAGATTGTGATTGTAACTAAAGAATCTATCAAGTCATTATTAAGGGGAGAAAAATCGAAAGGAAGTAGAAAAAAGAAGCAAAAAAAGAAAAAGAATAAAAAAAACTAATGTAAAAAAACTGATTTATGTATAATTGTAAAGTTAGGCTGTATTGCACAATTTGTTATTTAGTAATTTTACAAATTAGAATAGTTTATGCACAAGAATTATATAAAAAATATGCGAATTTAATTATACTGATGTTAAACTGAAAAATATGAATCATATCCGTTATATATAAATAGATTTTTTTCTTATACAATTTTACCATTCCAAAGAATATGGATGTGATGTGTGCGTAGATGACTTATTACTACCTTAAAGGTATGTAAATGAAAAGGTACATTTATATTTTCGAAAGTTATAATCTGAAATGAAGTTGTAGTAGATTTTCATGTTACTAATTGTGTCATTTGGAGATTTATCGAAGAGTACGAGATATCAATTTCTTCAAATGTACTTTTAATCAATCTATTTTATTCGTGGTAATTAAAATTATTTTCGCAACATGAGGTACATCGATTTATGCGAAAAAACTTTTACTTGTGAAATAAAAATGTTACCATATATTAACTGAATAAGAATAATTATTGGTAATGATTCCAAGTGTTAATTTTTATTTATAATACGTGAGTGAAGTCATACGCTTAAAAAATATTACAAAAAATACACAGGGATACAATTACATTTGTTGAAAGCGTGACTGTTTGTTACCCAGAACCCGCCAATCCAATTCTTAGAATTATTTATTGTGGTCGATAAATATTACGATAACAGGTAAATGAATATTTCATAATAGATAACAATTAGTATATAATAAGACAATATCGAACAAAAAATCAGAAAGGGATACATACAGTAAAAAGAACAACTATACTTCGTAGGTATCCAGATTGCATGGTTGATCCCCAAATTCAAATATTGCCTATATCCAAGGGATGCGCTCTACATATCTATGATCGAATTACTTTTTTTCCACTATCGAACATGCAATCTAAGATTATGTCTCTTGTTTCGATTACTAAAAATTCTGCTTTCTCCTGCAATCAAATACTATGTCCTCCTGTTTCTTCGATGATAGGATACATATTCCTCCGTTTCAATTACTAAATAACTTATCCAAAATATTGTCGCTACCTTTGAATCAACCTTTGAATCAATCCAATCATCACAGCCATGTATAGCGAAGTTATTACTATTATTTGCCATAACTGACCCGATTATTTAAGATCATCATGATATAACCTGATACGTTAAACATAAACATTGCTCACTATTTTTCGATTCCAGTACACATGATGGTAAACGAAACAAAAAATATGCTCTGTTCTGCGGTAGACACAAAAACCCCCTATTTTTGGATAAATGTATTTTATTCTTATCTAGCAAGAAAATTTAAATTTTTGGTGCATGTAACAATTGTAACATAATTTAAATTAATCTATTATTATTAAACTGAATGAAATTAACCAATTACAATTTTGATATTTATATATATTATTTATTATTACATCAGAATCATTGAAATATTTATATTTTCAGATTAAATAATTAATTGATATTATAATGAATTTCTCCCATTGCTGTCTGTACCTTGAAGCGCGATTATTCAGAGGCGTCTTATATATTTATTATACATACTATATACACTTAATTAATAATTTAAATTATTAAATGTGTCAAATTTTATTATTATGTGGTGCATAAAAAAAATTTTCCAATTAATTTACATTATTTAAAAATATCTTCGTTACTTTAATTACTTGCGTAATTATATTATTACTCTACTCTAGGATTACATGGTTTAGTCTAATTTTCCTAGATAAGTGCATATATTATTTAATTGAATGGTATTTATTATATTATATATAACTAGTGTACTTTAGGTACAGTAAGTTTTTAATATATAATAAATATACATATATGTATGGTTATGATTAGAATATTAAAAGGATTATTACAAATATTATTGTATTGTTATAAAATTTGAAGTTAATTGGCTGAGTTTTATAAAAAATATAAAAATTAATGGATTATTATTATTTTTTGTAAAATATCAATTTATAAATAAAATTGACAATACCATAATTTAAATTGTTAAAAGTCTCATGTATATCTGATATGGTTTAATTGTTTTAAATATAGATATTACATTTAAATCAAAAAAAAAAATCAAAATTATGTATAAAAAATTGTATATTAAATTAAAAGTAAATTTTAAGAATCATGCATGCATGTACATCATATATTCATATGTAATGAAATTTAATACAAATCTAACACAAATTTATTTATGTTATGTCCATATTGTTTAACATAATAAAATTAATTATTAATTGGATAATATTTATAATTTCCATTTATTCATTTATTATAATATAAAAAAAATGTTAAAAATGATATATGTAAAATAAGCTTTAATGTTTATCAAATAAAAATAAAAAAATTTTGTTTTCAATGGTCATACTTTACAAATGGAGTCCAATAGACCACTGGACTTACAAAAAAAAGGACCAAATATTAGTAATACTTTACTTAAGTAAAAATAAAAAGAAAATTCAAGAAAAATGCAATTTTTTTTGAGTACTCACCTACATTCATGAAAATTAATATTCAAGTAGTTTCAACCTAACTGAACATATAGGCTGATTTGAATCTGATCACATAGTAAATTTGGGTGATAAAATCAGGTGTAATGTAATACTATTATGCATATAAGCTGCATATCATAGTAAAAATTTGTGACTTTATCATGAAGAACCAATTTTCATTAAATCAAAACAACTGTAATCGCGAGTTGCAAATTGGTTTCAGATTGGTTTTTGCTACATCGCAAAGAGTTAGGGAAAAAACTTTTAAAAAATTTTTCGCTATAAAGTTAGTTTTGCTTGTAATAATAAAATATTTTTACGCGTATTCTGTATTAAAATGGCATATGTGTTAGGGTCAAGTCAAGAAAATAACCGAAGTAACCAAAGTGAAACGCTATTTTTTATAAATACTTGTTTTCTTTAATTATAATTAAACTTGGGATTATATAAATAATATATTACCAAATACTTTCTAATAAAATATTATTTAGATGGCTATTTTACGAGAAATTTTTCTTATCAATATCCTGCAAGTCCTTTTATAACATCACAATACATATCAGGAAACTGACCCTTTTATTTTTGGTATAAAGTAGTGTCTTTAGGATATTATCTAACACCAGTTAAACTTATACAAAAAAATTCTAAAGATTATATTCAATATCAAATACCTGATAACTATAGTATTGAAACTGAAGTTTCTAAAATGAAGATCTGTTATGAAACAAAGTATCAACCAAATGGAAAAGTAAGGTTTACAATTGTGTGAAAAGAAAATAGATCAGAGTGGAGTATATACAGTGATCGCTCTGCAACTAGTGTTGTTAATGTATTCTTAAAGGTATTATTATTATTTTTTTTTCAAAACTGAACTTTTAATAATTATTTTTATTGATCTTATTAATAATACAGAAAAATAATCGCCCAAATTCTAATTTATCGGGAGTATACATTTTTGGGTTTGATATTGGACGATTGCATGAATGTCACTTAGAAACAATAGGTGCTCCTATTACATTAGTTAACAAAAGAAAAAGGCCTCTAATAATGATTCAAACTATCTCAGGGCAAAATAAAAGATTTGCATCTTTAGGCAGAGAATCTGAAAAGGCAATTAGATCTTTGATTAAAAAACATCAATTGACTGATGAAACTAATCAACAAATTATTCATATTCATAAAATTAAATTGGATTTTAATGGTAAAAGTATTATTTTAACTTACAATCTACTTGATAATAAAAATGAACTTACAAAAATAGATGCTATTGTTAGAGCTTGTAATGAATCATTGTTAGCACGTGATGGATATCGGCAGCTTGCTGCAGTTGAAGCATTTCTTATACGTGAATATTTGATAGCTAATTGTAGGGTTGAAATTACAAATCTTATTAATAAAGATCTTAGAATTGGAACATTTAACATCAATAAAAGTGATAATGATCTGTTAAATCATTTAGAATCTGATGATGGTATAATAGTTGATGAGGCAGAAATTGGAAATGGTGCATACAGGTCAATTTACACGATTTTACAAACTTTAATACCATTATGGAAAGAATCATCTCCTGCAATCATCAATTCTGGTGATATACTTAAACTTAAGCTTGGTGGAGATGGTCGCAATGTTGGTCGTAAGCAAAGCCATGTAATGATGACGATTTGTCTTTTAAATGAAGGAGAAGAAGTCTTAAAACCTGAACATCAATACTGGTAATAAATTTATTGTGATTTAATAACCAAAAATTAATTTAAATTATTAAATTTTTTTTTTTTTAGCATTTGTCTTTATGTTGGACGAGAAAAATATGATGACCTTGCTAAGATAGGAAAATTATTTCAACATCAGCTTCTTGATCTCCAAAATAACGGAATATATGATAAAGATGGGAATCATTGGCCAGTGGAATTGTTTTTTTCTGGTGACTGGAAGTTTATGTATATAATAATGGGATTGAACGCCCCAAATTCGAAGTATTTTTGTTTATATTGTAACTGTCAATCTGAGTTACGCTGGGATATGGAACAAAATTTTGAAAATTCAGGAAATCATGCCTGTAATGTTAAAGGTTTTTTTTTCATGATTATTTTATTACCAATTAATTAAAACTATGAATATTTACTAATAATTAGGTGAAAATAGAAAACCAGCATTATTTCCTGCAATAAATCAAGAAAATTATATTCCTGACGAATTACATCTACTTTTGCGCATTGTTGATGTTTTGATGGAATGCTTTTTTAATGATGTAATTAAAAAAAAAGAGTTTGAAAAAAAAATTAAATTAGAGATTGAACAAGCAATGCAAAACATTAAAGTTCATTTTGAGTTTTTCAAGTCAAGATCTACTAGTGGAAAGTGGGATTGGACTTCTTTAATGGGTCCTGATAAAAAGAAAGTATTGGAACATTTTCCAATTTCTCAATTTATTTCTGGCACTTGTGAACAAGAAATTGAAAAACTATGGAAGGAATTTCTCCGGCTTTATAAAGTTTTAAGAAAACCTTTTCTTTCAGACCAAGAAATTGATGCGTTTGAAATTGATGCCAAACAATGGATCCGTACTTTTTATTGTGCAACTGAAGGACGTCCCAATTCAATATCACATAAACCTGGATTATATCGCAAACAAGATGTAACCCCTTATATGCATGTTTTCGCACAACACATGCATCAATTTATGCGCCAATTAAAGATGAAAAACTTATCATTACGATATTTTTCTACTTCTAGTATTGAAAGAAAAAATCACGATCAGGTAATTTGTAAATTTATTTAAAAAGGATATTTTATTACATATATTAATATTAATAGACCTTTTAATTAGGTTCGGTTATTTTTTTGTGGTACCACTATGGGTGGTGGAATTGAAAAAAAATCGGTAGTATATAATATTATATCTTTTAAAAATCGTCAACTTTATTACTTAGTTAACAAAACTCCTAAAGAAATTAATGCTAGGAATATTGATTCTAACAAAAAAGTAAATTAAAATATCATATATAGTGCTTTTGATCTAAGAATAATTGTTGCGTGATAAAATAATTCTATATTGTGATTGATTATTTTTAGTAGTAGGCGTTGTAATATGACTTTCGGATTCTTGTAATTTTTTTTTGTCATTTCTAATAAAAAGTAATAAATACTTTAATTCATATAAATTTTGCACATAAAATTTAAAAACTTACTCGTTTACAAATTCTTCCGAATCTGTTGTAAAAGTGCAAGTGACAACACCACATTGAAATGTCCGGTTATTTTCAACTAATTTGGTCTGTGTTCAACTAAAAGTAACCTCATGACTTTCCGCATAATTCACAAATAGTACATATCTGGTTATTTTTGTTATCGGATCCTGTCGACAACTCCAATGTTCATAATTCAAAATTTGTTTCAACCTTTATTCCTCCACCTCACCTTTAAACGTGCAACAATATTTTCGTAATACTGTATTGTATCTAAATGAAGGTTCACTTTGAAATAAGTAAACAAAGACATTTTCAGGGAAAACATTTATTAAAACCCATTTAGTTCTCACAGAATGTCTATTGAAACCAAGACGCTTTTTAATGAGAATTATAAATGCATCCTGGTAAGATATAAGTTGTTTAAAAGAAGGCCGAAGTAGTAAATGGAAGTGTGGTATAGTTTTGTTGTTTCGGTGTTTAGTTCTTTCATGAGTCAAAAGTAGTTTTCGTGAAATAAAAGTCTCTTGGCAAAGACAACACCTAAGCGTCATATTAAGTTTAAAAACGCGTTAGTTGCAAAACACAGTCTAATCTTTATCAGATTTTGATGGGTGACAAAGTTTTTATTGGTTGCCATGGTTATCACAAATTATTCACAAAATGTCATGTTGATGATAAAATCGAATGGAGTTAAATCGGCCCATATGACAACTTTTAATTAATAAAAGGAAGGATTTCATTTGATCAAAATGGAGATATTATATTCTAAATTAGAAAATAGAGAAGAGAGTTAATATCATCAAGAAAAATGCAATTTTCTCCAAGTACTATACCTACATTTATGAAAATTAATATTCAAGTAGTTTCAACCCGCCTGAACAACTTTTAATTAATAAAGGAAGTTGATTTCATTTGACTAAAGTGGAGATATTACGCTCTAAATTAAAAAATAAAGAAAAGGGTTAATATCATTAAGAAAAATGCAATTTTCCTCTAGTATTACACTTATATTCATGAAAATTAATATTCAAGTAGTTCAACCTATCTGAACAACTTACAATTAACAAAGGAAGTTGATTTCATTCGACTAAAGTGAAGATATTACGCTCTAAATTAGAAAACAGAGAAGAGAGTTAATATCATCAAGAAAAATGCAATTTTCCTTAAGTATTGCACCAATATTCGTGAAAATTAATATTCAAGTAGTTTCAATCTGCCTGAACAACTTTCAATTAATAAAGGAAGTTGATTTCATTTGACTAAAGTAGAGATATTACGTTTTCAATTAAAAAATAAAGAAAAGAGATAATATCATCAAGAAAAATGCAATTTTTTCTCAAGTATTACACCTATATTCATGATAATTAATAATCAAGTAGTTTCAATATGCCTGAACAACTTTCAATTAATAAAAAAAGTTGATTTCATTTGACTAAAGTAAAGATATTACGCTCTAAATTAGAAAACAGAGAAAAGAGTTAATATTATCAAGAAAAATGCAATTTCTTCAAGTACTATACCTACATTTATGAAAATTAATATTCAAGTAGTTTCAATCCGCCTGAACAACATTCAATTAATAAAGGAAGTTGATTTCATTTCTAAATTAAAAAATAGAAAAGAGAGTTAATATCATCAAGAAAAATGCAATTTTCTCTAAACACTATACCTACATTCATGAAAATTAATATTCAAGTAGTTTCAACCCGCCTGAACAACTTTCAATTAATAAATAAAGTTGATTTCATTTGTCCAAAATGGAAATATTATGCTCTAAATTAAAAAACAGAAAAGAGAATTAATATCATCAAGAAAAATGCAACTTTTTCTCAAGTATTACACCTATATACATGATAGTTAATATTCAAGTAGTTTCAACATGCCTGAACAACTTTCAATTAATAAAGAAAGTTGATTTCATTTGACTAAAGTGGTGATATTACGCTCTAAATTAGAAAACAGAGAAGAGAATTAATATCATCAAGAAAAATGCAATTTTCTTCAAGTACTACACCCCTATAAAAAAATATATATACTGTTATCATACGGTATAACCGTATTTTGCGATCAGTATCTTTACAGTATAAATAATGTATTATTATCGTATTACACATACAGTATATATTCAGTATTCTGCACACCATATCATACATATTGTAATTAACGCACATATGTTTAACGTGAAAATTATACTGACATAAAGAATGATATGGTGGTGTGAACTGTACGTTTCCCACTGTTGATTAATCTGCGAACAGCACAATATCCCAGTGTGCACCGTACATTTCTCACTTTGATTAATTTGCGAACAGCATGATATCCCGGTGTGCACTATACGTTTTCCACTTTGATTAATTTGCGAACAGCACGATATCCCGGTGTGTACTGTACGTTTCCCACTTTGATTAATTTGCGAACAGCATGATATCCTGGTGTGCACCGTACATTTCCCACTTTGATTAATTTGCGAACAGCACGATATCCCAGTGTGAATTGTACGTTTCCTACTTTGATTAATTTGTGAACAGCATGATATCCCAGCAATCCGTATGTTTACATATTAAAAATATACCATTAGTACACGTATTTACATAGAATGTTTTTATTTTATTAATAATATAATGTATAAATAAATATAACAGATAATTTTATTATTTAAATTGATATGCAATTAATAATTTTTGTAATTAAAATCTAATAAAAGAATACTTCTATTATAGTAATAAAATTATTATAATTAAATATAGAGAAAATAAAAAAAAAGAAAGAATTAGTAGTTATAAAAGAAGAAGTGATAAAAAGAGATACAATTAGTAGTGATAAAAAGAAGAAAAATTAGCAGTGATAAAAAAAAAGATACAATTAGTAACGATGAAAGAAAGATACAATTAGTAGTAATAAAAGGAAGAAAAATTATTAGTGATAAAAAGAAGATACAATTAATAGCGATAGAAGAAAAATTAGTAGTAATAAAAAAAAGATATAATTAGTAACAATAGAAGAAAGATACAATTAGTAGTAATAAAAAGAAGAAAAATTATTAGTGATAAAAAGAAGATACAATTAATAGCATAGAAGAAAAATTAGTAGTGATAAAAAAAAGATATAATTAGTAACAATAGAAGAAAGATACAATTAGTAGTGGTAAAAAGAAGAAAAATTAGTAGCAAACTAGCAATGAAAGAAAGATATAACATATCGGCTGATCAAAAAAGTCCCCCAATATTTTTGGGGTGAGGATAATAAACAAAATATGATATAGTATTTTACTAAAAATAGATCATTAATTTGATCAGTGTATTACATTATTAAACGTTAACTGTTAAATTTTGACTATAAAATTCTAAGAATTTACATTCAGCAAGACGCTGATCATTTTTAAGATATACGCGTAAGAATTAATTTTTTTTGAAAAAAATTTACATTTTTTTTTTAAAAAAAAATGGAAACTAATGATGCTCCTTTATCAGTTAAGAAAAAAAGACCTATTGAAATTCATAATTATCCTAAAGAATCTGTTATTCAATATTCCGATTCTGAACGAAGCTATACCTATAATATTATTAAAGAAGGAACTTATCCACCTGCTGCTTATCTCAAATATACAAAAGGTCAAAAAGGGTTTCGAATACCTGATAATTATGAAGTTGAAACTAGTTTGAGAAAGCCTAAAACAAGACAAATAGTTAAATGTATAATCAAATATGTGGAAAAAAAACCGGTTTATTGGGTATACTATGGAGATAAGTTTCAATATCATGTAAAGTCAGAAAAATCAAGCTCAGATGTAGCATGTTTATATGCTAAAGTATGTAATTATTTATTAATAAATCGTAATTAGTAAGTGCTTTATTAATGCAAAGGATAATTTTTATAATAGGCTTTAAATCCTGAAACTAAAACACGCTATTCTGGTCCACATTTTTTTGGTCTTCATTTAGAAATACTTCAACAGACAAGAGATATTTACCGACGAGCAACAGTTTTAAAATCATTTGACAATTTAACTCAAACTGGACAAAATAATCGAGCTAAAAAAATTGCCAAGTCTATATCTGCAATATTTGATCAAGAAACAACTAAATGTTGTCATTTAGATGATGATTCTAATTTAAAATCAATTGAGTTTAGTATCAGAGATAATTCTTTTTACTTTAGTTTTAATGAAGATAACGTTGAAATAAAGCATAAAGCAAGAGCTGCCGTACAAGCATGTGATAAAGGTCAGGTAACACGAGAAAGATATCGAACTTTAGCTTCGATCAGTCAAGATCTACCACGTGAATGGAAAGTTTCTGCAGAAAAGAAAGATATTACATATGAAATGAACGAAATTATACCAATTTCTCTTATAAATATAACACCATCACCATCTGATAATTCTGTAAATTCAGAAATACATATTAATGATACCGAAATTATTGATAATTTACAACAATCAATTGGAAAAGGAAGGCGACGAGACATTGTTAATATTTTAAGATATTTAATACCAGGTCTTCTTGAAAGAAATGTATTAGATATAACAAATCCTACAATACATTTGCGAATTTCTGGTAATGGGAGAAACGTTGGACGAAAGGTTAAACAGGTCATGGTTACCTGCTCAATTCTTAATGATCTTGATAATATATATCGACCTGAAAATTATTATACCATAATTTTATATTCTGGCATTGAAAAGTATGAGATTTTAAATGTTGTTTTAGAACCACTAATTATGGAATTAAGGAAATTAAAAGAAGAGGGATTTAGAGATAATCAGAATAGAGAATGGAAAGTTGAACTTTATTTTTCATCAGATTGGAAGTTCCTTGCAATTTGTTTAGGATTAAATGCAGCAAATAGTAAGTATTTCTGTCCATGGTGTGAGGTATCTAAAGAAAAACAGGGTGATTTTTTATATGAATTGATAATTAATAAAACTATAGATCAAATTCGTGAAAATTACACATTTTATAAGGGTCATGTTCGACCAGCAATTTTTGATATGATTCCTTTACAAAACTGGGTTCCAGATGAACTGCATATTATGTTGCTTATAACAGATGTTCTTTGGCGGCTTGTGATTGATGAACTCAAATTCAGAAATACTTGGGGAGATAGAGCAAGAAATTTAATAGTTGAAGAAATGAAACGTGTTGATGTTAAATTTCATTTTTGGCTTGAAGTAGGATCGACAAATTGGCAATATACTTCTTTAATGGGGCAAGATAAATTAATTGTACTTCAGCATTTTGATTTAACTAAACTTTTTCCAAATTCACGAGCAACTCAAATCTGAAATTTGTGGGATAATTTTTATTTACTTCATAAAGCAATGAAAGATCAAAAAACTGATGCGAACCAATTTTCTGATGATGCACGTGCATGGTTACACCAATTTTTAGATTCTAATTATTTTTATCAAGCGGGTGATATTACACCTTATATGCATGTATTAGTTTATCACGTTCCAGAAATGATGCGTATTCATCAAAAATTTGGTTTAGCAGCATTTTCTTGTTCGGCAGTTGAAAAAAAAAATCATCAACAAGTTTCTCATTTTTTTTAAAAAACAACAAAAGATGGTGGTGTCTGAAAAGGAAGAAAATCTGCAATTGTAAATATTCTTGAATACGAAAATAGAGTTTTATATTTTAATAATCATAATATGGTTGATTTAATTCGATTATCAAAACGTTTGCGTATCAAGTAGTATTTGTAATAGAAATATATGCTTTTTCATTTTTTTTTCAATGTATTATTTACAAATTTCATAATAAAATTTGATCTTATTTTTGCCACTTATATTTACATGATTTTCAAGTTTCAACCCTTCTATTTTTAATATAAGTTTTCTATATCTCTCATACGTGAAATTGTAAAGTTTATAAAGATAAATCCTGATGAATATACAATATTTCGTACATCTGATTTTTCTTTTCTTTTCCAGCCAATAATGATTTGTATGGGTTTAAGTTTGCAGATTCGGCTTTTTTTAGCTTTATATATTTTTACTTGATTTTGTTTTTGAAGAGGATCGGGTTCTTGACATAAATTTAATTCCAGAAGAGGATCTGGATCATTTGGATTTGATGGTTGTTGATATGATAAAACAAATGTCTTTTGGTGTTGCAAAAAATATTTGACACCCCAATTATCGTCTCCCAATACTTTTGATAATGTAGAATAATAATTAATACCTTTAAAAATACACTTATAATTTCCTGTTTTTGGATAATAATTATGTATATATCCTTTAAAAACACCAAAAAATTGACTTTCTGTACAACTAATCATAATTCGCACACTCCTAGCATGTTTTGAACTTTGTTTCAGTCTCTCCTTTATATGATAAACCAAAATTCGTCTCTTTTCTTCAATAGCTTTTTCAGGTAAATCGTACGCGGTTGGCTTCATAACATTAGCATCTTTAATTGTTATTTTATGATTAGCTAAACCAGAATGCCTTTTATAGATTTTTCCACATATTTCATATTCAAACTTGTTGCAAAACGTGTTAGTTGATGGTTTAGACATAGGTATGTCGGCAATTGTCTACAAATAAAGTTTTAAAGTTTATTGTTAAACAAATACTATAATATTGGACGCGTTTTTTTAAAATAAAAAAGAAAATTACAATAAAATTTATATTATTTCTTACTCGTAATTTTTGATCGGTTCCTTTTTTTTTTGATCGGTTTCTTACTTTATTACATATTAAAATATTTTTTATTCGGGGAGTTGTTAAATTTAGAGGAGACATTTGGGTATCGTCTGTACTTCTAAGCCACTAAAAACATATGATTTAAGTAACACATAACAAAAATGTGGTCCTGCGATCAGGCCCAATTTTTTTGATCAGCCGATATGATTAGTAGTGATAAAAAGAAGAAAAATTAATAGTGATAAAAAGAAGAAAATTAGTAATGATAAAAAATTAGTAGCAATAAAAGAAAGATACAATTAGTAGCGATGAAAGAAAGATACAATTAGTAGCGATGAAAGAAAGATACAATTAGTAATGATAAAAAAAAAAGATACAATTAGTAGCGATACAATTAATAGCAATAAAGACCGAAAATAAAAGTAACTGTACCTATTTTATTAAATTATAAATAAATCTATTTTAGAAAAGTTCAAAAAGACAAGATAAAAAATTAGTAATAAAGAATAATACAATTAATTATATTTAAGTTTAAAAAAATATTACTTCATAAACGTTAAATATTTTCTTTTTGTGAAATGTATTTCTTTCTATATCTATTAGGCAACCTTTTATTTGGTATCGTTTAAAAT